TTCGGCCCTTTTGATTTTCTGACTCCAACTCCTTGCACATTTCATTGTAATATTTTGCTTTGTCATCCCGTGCTGCCTTTTGAAATCTTCTCTTCAACTCTTTAGTATCTTGAATTCTTCCCTGTGCTTTGGCTTCTCTGCGCTCCAGTGCAATTTTCACTGGGTGTGTTAGAGACAGTAAAGTTGGCATAGGATAGAGCAAGTTTCAGGGCTGTTGTACATAGGGTCGCTATGAGTCACAAGGGACTTGACGGCACTTACAACAACAACAATAGGTAAACTTTTATGTGTGCTCTAAGAAATTTTTCTTTCTACCTTTCTCATTATTTAACTGATATTATTCATGGGACCAGAAAGTTCTGGCGGCATCGTGCACAGGGAATTGCACTGCTAGCCCAGGGGCAGCACCTCTCTGGCTGTTTGAACCCACCAGCCGCTCCAATGAATAAGATGGAAAAAATTTCATCCTGTGTGATTAACAGCCTCTGACAATAACTGGAAATCCGTTATGAGTTTATTTCAACATGATGACAATGAATTCGAGTTACACATACACACACACAATATAGGTTAAGGACCCGACCCTCTGGTGGTGTTCATTATATGTTGGGCTACTAATTGAAAAGTCAAATTTGAATTTACCACCTGCTCTGCTGTGCAATCTCCTCTTAAGGTCGACTGTAGCCTGCAAGATGAATTGCATCTCAACCTCAAGAAAGCAAAGAAACTTCACCACCAGGCTAATTAACAGCATCATGATAGATGGAGAAAAGACTGAGGTTGTTAATGATTTCATCTTGTTCGGACCTACAATCAACACCCTTGGCACCAATCGTCAGGAATCTAAAGATGAGTTGCTTTAGGAAGGTTAGATGTCAGGGACCTCTCCAGAGTGCTAAAGAGCAACGATGTCAGTCTAGAGACCAGGACATGCCTGACCCAGGCCATGGCATTCTCAATTGCTTCCTATGCATCTGAGAGCTGGATAATAAATAAGAATGACAGAAGATGAATGGATGCCTTTGAGTTGTGGTGCTGGAGAAGAGTCTGCAAAGAGAACAAGCAGGTCTGTCCTGGAGAGGGTGAAACCAGATTGCTCCTTGGTGGCAAGAACAGTGACGCTCCACCTCATACTTAAGGCATGTTGCCCAGAGGGCCTGCTCCTTGGAAGAGCTTGAAAGGGATGGTCAGTGTAGGAGAGGAAGATCCTGGATGAGACAGATTGACACAATGACTGTGGAAATGGGGGCAGGTGTGTCAGAGATGATGAGATTGGCTCAAGACAAGGCAAGATTCAGAGCTATTGTTCATTGAGCCATTATTAGTTACAGTCAACACAATGGCACATAACAACAACAGCAAAGATTTACAGCCTTGGAAGCTCTATGAAGTCAGAATTGACTCAATGCCAATTCACAAGTCAGAATTGACTCAATGCAAAGGGTTTGTTTTGTTTTGTTTTGTTTTATTGGGCTCTGGTGGCCTAGTGGGTAAGAAGTAGTGCTGCCAATCACATGATTGTGCCAAAGGCACGTGATTCAATCCACCAGATGCTCTTCAGGAGGAAGATGGGAAATCTCCTGTGTGATTTACAGCCTCCAAAAACCTACTGAAGAATCATCAATGAGGCTGTTACAACTCAACGGCAATGAAAGAGTATGAGACTATTTTTATTAGAATTGCCAAAGAGCATCGTGATGAAGGTGCTCTGATGAATCATGGCCCTTGCTTTCATTTGTACAGTTTGGAGACAAAAGCAAATCATCGTTTTATAATTGGTGGTGATGATTGTAATTCATTACTATTGCACGCAGGACCACAGAAGCAGGCAGGACTATGTGTGACTCAGATGCGTACAAAAAGTGCAGAATAAAAAGGTACCTTTCCATTCTTATCACAGAATGAGAAGTGGCCTGGGCAAATTTAATTCTGTTCTATATAAGGTCACCAAGAATCACAGCTAACAAGACAGGAACTAATAACAGCACATAGTCTGAAGGTCTGGGGGAGTTACAGGCTTGAAGGAGTGAAGCACTGATGTGAGTAAGGCTTTGGAGTTCTGGGGGACAGGCACCACACTGACTGTTCCTCCCGACCTTCCACAGGTCCTGTGTCCAGGAATTTCTGCTGTCCGGGCAGGTGGCAAGGGCTGCTGCGGTGCAGGCTGCTGTGGAAACCGATGCAGGGTAAGATCCACGCTGAGGCAGCAGGGGGCGCTAAGTGTTTGAAGTGACTCAGGATATTATTATTATGAACTGCTTAAATGTAATATTCTTTTTTACATTATTTTTTAATTGATTTGCTTACAAAGTTTGTATACATGCTTAGAGACACAAGCTCCTCAGCAGAGCTCCAGGTCTCACCTCATTGCCACTCCCTCGAATTTGCATGTTTTGGGCTTCAAGGGCCTTAACAAAGGGGACTGGATTTAACCCCCTTGAACCTCTCAGGCCCTTGGCCTTAAGTTTGACAGGAAATTCTTTTAAACATGATGCAAGAAGACTTCAGTTTAAAAAGAAGAAGAAGAAGAAGACGACGACGACGACTTCAGACTTGTTTGCTGGGAAGAGCAAGTCTCAGCTTAATAGGCCCTGAAGTAGAGAGGATGAGACACAATTTACACCATCTTCTGTTTATCTCTGCACCCAGATGCTGCGCTCCGTCTTCTGCTCAGGGTTTGGGGTGCTTGGTGCTGCCTACTGCCTCGGGGTATCTGGAGCCGGGCTCCGATCTGGACCCCTCTGCTCTAGTAACGGTGACTGGAGATACCCCTTCAACAACTCCACGTAAGCCTGGCCTCATCTGCCCCTTCCACTGGGAAACTGGTGCAGGCTCCCCCTGGAGTGAGCGCTCCTTCCACGGAGCCCTGGGCAGATGCCTGAGTGCAGGGGTGCATGGATGCATGGAGGGAGTCACAGGGTCTGATCTCCGGCCCTCACAGTGACCCTGTCTGCCCCACAGTGGAAACTACTTGCTGGACCACGATCTTTGGAGTCTGTGTGAGAAGCCGCCTAACGTGGTCTCCTGGAATGTGACGCTTTTCTCGCTGCTAGTGGGAGCCTCCTTCCTGGAGCTGGTGCTGTGTGGGGTGCAGCTGGTGAACGCAGCCATTGGGGTCTTCTGTGGTGACTGCAGGAAGAAGGAGGTGGGCCAGAGTGGTGGAGGGTGGGGCAAGGGGGGTGCTTGTTCCTGGTCATGTTCTCACTCTTTTTCCCCCCTCAGGGCGACCCTCACTGAGGCCCTGCTGCCTAACCACTCTTCGGACTCACTACCAGGAACCCCGCCCAGCCCCTCCACCCTGGCTCCTTGGAATAAACTGTCATGAGCTATCCCTACTCTACTCTGAGTGTGCCTTGTGTATGGAGTGTCCAAGGGACCCCCAGATACACTGGGGCTTGGGAATCTCCTGTTTGAGACCCTCGCAACCTGCTTTTTATTTTCTTAAATAATAAATAGTGAGCCAGTTGTGTGGACTGAAAACAGAGAGGCAAACAAAATAAACACGCCCTAAGCTCCCAAGAATTTAACATTCCAGGGCTGGGATGTTTGGATTAATGAGAAACTCTGTTTTAAAATATTTGTAATAGGATAATGTTCAGAGTGGCTATTTTTATAAGATATGGAGAGTCTTGTTAAGAAAGGGAAATTTGAACTGAAACCTGAACACCTGGGGGGATTCCAGGAGATAGAAGGAGAGAAAAAGGCCCTAAGGGGAAAATCAGTATCTTTATTGGGGGTGGGGCCCCTAGAAACCACAAGAAATTTCAACGTATTGATCTTTAAAAAATGAAACCTTATGGCCATGATAGTTTTTTCACCTGGATCAGGGAGTTCTGGTGGCCTAGTGGCAAGAAGTTGTGCTGCAATCCTGAAGTCACATTGTTCCAATCCACTACCTGCTGCTCAGAAAAAGGATAGACAATCTCAGTGGTACACAACAACAATTTGGCAGAAGTCTCCTATTTTGGTTTCCACTAGTAGTTTAAAGCAATGATGTCAATTTTGAAAAACATTTTCTTTTATACTGGTTTACATACAAAATTCATAAAGTTTATATATATTGTTTTTCACACCAAACCTTTCCCCTTTCCTTTACCAATCACTCCCTCCACCCATCAAATTGTGCGACCCTATATTTAAGCGCCCCCCCCCCACCATAGGATCCTCGTACACATTCTATAATAATGATCCTACAGGAGTGGCATCAACTTTCAAAATAGCCTGCCTCCAGAAACCTTATGAACCGTGGAGAAAGGATGAAAGTTATACAAATGTTCAGGTCTTTTGTTCATAGGGTTGCTATGCCTATGACTTGACAGCACTTAACAACAACAACATACAGTATTTGTCTTAATGAGACTGAGTTAGCTCACTAAGCGTAATACTCAAGTCCTTCCCATGTTAGGTAGCAATTAACAAAATCTTTGCTCCTGTGTGCTGCATAGTATTCCATTGTGTGAATGTACGTTAATTTCTCAAATCATTTCATTGTGAGTGGGCATTTGGGCTGTGTGCATGTTCTTACTATGGTGAATAACACTGCTAATGAACAGTGGTGTACAAGTATCTGTGCCTCAGTTCTCATTTAGAGTATATAGTCCAAGCAGTGGAATAGCTGGGTCATATGAAATATCTATGTTCAGCTTTTTAAACAAATGCCAAAGTGCCTTCCAGAGTGGTTGTACCATTTTACAATCCCATCAACAATGTATAAGAGTTCCTGTCTTGCCAACATTTAGTAGTACTTGCTGCCTTGCTAACCTTTGCCAATGCTAACTGGGGTGAGATGGTATCTCATTATGGTTTTTATTTGCATGTCTCTTATTGCCAGTGATTTGGAGCATTTCTTCATGTTGGCCATTTGAATGTCCTCCTCTATGAAAGTTCTTTCCATGTGTTTTGCCCATTTTGTAACTGGGTTATCAGTTTTTTTCTTCTGGAGGCACTGAAGGATTCTGTAAACTTTCATTATAGTCTCTTGTCTGAAATGTTATTGCCAAATGTTTGTTCCCAGTCTGTAAGTTTTCTTTTCACCCTATTGGGAAAAGTTTTTTATGATCACAGAGATTTAATCTTTCAGAAGGTCCCATTCATCAATTTTATTGTCTTCAGATTGTGTATTTCTGACTGTATTTGGCAATCAATCCCTTTATATCATAGACTAGGCATTCTACGCTTGAGCCCAGTTTGTCTCTTATGAGCTTTATGGTTTTGGGCTTTACTCCCAGGTTTCTGATCCACCTTGACTTGATTTTTGTGTATGGTGTGAGATGTGAATCCTGTTTCAGCTTTCTACAAGTTGTTGTTATGTGTCGTTGAGTAGCCTTCAACTCTTAGCGACCCTATGTACAAAAGCCCTAAACCCTGCTCTATCATTTGCCAATCTTATTGTCTCCAACACACCTATCCCCATTACAACAGTAACTGAATCAACACAACTCTTGGAGAGTCTTCCTCTCCTGCACTGTCCTTCCACCCTCCCAAGCATGAGGTCCCCCTCCTAGGACTGGTCCCGCCTTGCAACATGTCCAAAGTATGTCAGACTCCAAGGAGCAGCCTGGCTTCACCTTCTCCATGATGAACTTGTTTGTTCTCTCATCAGTCCGTGGTATATTTAATACTTTTCTACAGCACCCCTAAAGGCACCAACTCTCCTTCTATCATCCCTAGTCATTGTCCAGTTCTCTGATGCATAGCAAGTAATTGCAAAGACCATGGCCTGTATCAGGTACACCTTAGTCTCCAGACTGATATTGTTGCTCTTCAGTGCTTTGGAGAGGTCTCTGACAGCAGACTTTCCCAATGCAATTTGTGTTTTAATTTCCTGGCTTCTGGTGTTGATTGTAGAGCCAAGCAAACTGAAGCTGTCAATAATCTCAATCTCGCAGTCCAGTTTTGCTAGCACCATTAGTTGAAGAGGTTATCATATCTGCATTTGATAGATTAAATTTCCTTGTAGACTATCAGTTGACCATAAATAGCTGGGTCTGTTTCTGGGTTCTCAATTCTGTTCCATTGGTATATGCATTTGTCATTGTACCAATACCATGCTGTTTTAGTTACTAACTGCTGTGTAGTGTTTTGAGGCCAGTGAGTGCTATACCTCCCACTTTCTAACTTATTTTCAGAAGTACTTTGCTTATTCTGGCCTCTTTCCTTTCTAAATAAACTTGACAATTTCCTTTTTGATCTCCTTGAAAAATGAGTTTTGTATTTGTATTGGGATTATATTGAACATGTAGATTGCTTTTGGTAGGATTGTCATTTCCACAAAATTAAGCCTTCCTATCCATGAATAGGGCACATTGTTCTATTTCTTTAGGTCTTTTATTGTGCCTTGCAGAAATGTTCTGTAGTTTTCTTTGTACATGTCTTTCGTATCTTTAGTAGGTTCACTCCCAAGTATCTCAATTTGTAGTTGACTGTTGTAAATGGTATTGCTTTCTTGGTTTCCTTCTCGAGTTCTCTTTGTTACCGTAGAGGAATCCCACTGATTTTTGGATATTGATCTAGTATCCTGCCACTCTGCTAAACTGATCTACTAGCTCTAACAATTCTTTGTGTGTGTGGAGTCTTTAGTGTTTTCTGTATACACTATCAAACCATCTGCGTAGAGTGACAATTTAGCCATCTCTTTGCCAATCAGGATGCCTTTTATTTCTATCTGCTGTTAGAGACCTCTCCAAAGTACTGAAGAGCAATGGTGTATCTTTAGAGACTAAGGTGCCTCTGATCTAGGCCATGGTCTTTGCAATCACTTGTTATGCATCAAAGAGTTGGACAATGACTAGGGAGTATAGAAGGAGAATTGACGCCTTTGAGCTGTGGTGTTAGAGAAGAGTATTGAGGGTACCATGGACTGCTAAGAAAACAAACAGGTTCCACTTGGAAAGGGTTAAACTGGGCTGCTCCTTAGAGGCAAGCATTCTGAGGCTTCGTCTAACATACTTTGGACATGTTGTAAGGAGGGACCCGTCCTTGGAGAGGGACATCATGCTTGGGAGGGTGGAGGGACAGCGCAGGAGGGGAAGGCCCTCTATGAGGTGGATTGATTCAGTGACTGGGGTAATCGGGATGGGTGAATGGGAGACAGTGCAATTGACACAGGACAGAGTAGAGTTTAGGGCTGTTGTACATAGGGTCATTATGAGTCGCAAGCGACTCGACAGCACATAACAACAGCAACTTGTCATATCAAACAGGGACCAAAGATGTCTACTGTCACCATTGCTATTCACTATTGTACTGGAAATACTTACTTGCTAAGGCAATATGACAAGTTGCTGTTGTTATGTACTGGTCTATAATTTTCTCTTTTGGTAATATCTTCGCCTGGTTTTCGTATTAGGGTTATGCTTGCTTCATAGAATGTCTATGGGAGTGTTCCTTCTTTTTCTGTATTTTGAAATAACTTAAGTAGAATTGATGCTAAATCTTCTCTGAATGTTTGGTAGAATTCAGCTGTGAAGCCATCTGGTCCAGGATTTTTTTGTGGGGAAGTCTCTTTATGACCTGCTCAATTTCTTCTTTTGTGATGGGTCTGTTCAAGTGTTCTATGCAGGGCATGAGTTTCAAGTATTTTGTCCATTTCCTTTAAGTTTTCAAATTTATCTGAGTATAGCTTTTATTTTATTATTTTAATATTCTGATGTTATAGATGTCATTTCCTCTGGTTCTGTTGTGATGTCACTGCTTATCATTCCTTAATCAAATTATTTGTCTCTTCTCCTTTTTTTCATTTGTTAAGTTTGTCAGTGGTTTGTCAATCTTACTGATCCTTTTGAAAAACCAGCTACTGCTTTTATTGATTGTTTCAATTGTTTTTCTGTTTTCTATTTCATTGATTTCAGCTCTTATCCTTATAATTTCCTTTCTTCTAGAGGCTATTGGATTAGATTGTTGTTCTTGTTCACTTTGATGAAGGTGCTGGGTTATATCCTTTATCTTGTTTCTTTCTTCATTTTTTTTATGTGTTTGCCTATTGAGATTAACTGGCCCCTGAGGACTGTGTTAGCTGCATCCCAGAAATTTTGGTATGTTGGGTTTTCATTATCATTTGTTTCAAGGAACTTTTTAAATTTCATTCTTATTTCTTCTATAATCCAATCGTGTTCTAGCAGGGTGTTATTTAGCTTCCACGTTGATGGCTTTATAAGCTTTATCTTCTTGGGGTTAATTTCTAATTTTATGACACTGTGATCTGAGAAGATACTTCGGGTTATTTCAATGTTTTTTAATTTGTTGAGGCTTGTTTTATGCCCTAATATGTGATCAATTCTGGAGAATACACAATGTACACTTGAAAAGAAAGTGAATTGAGTTTTAGCTGGGTAAAGTACTTAGACTACATCCACAAGGTTGAGTTGGCTCACTGTGCAGTTTAATTCTTCTGCATCTTTGTTAAGTTTCTTTTGAGTTGAACTTATCTTTTGGCGAGAGTGGTGTGTTGAAGTCTCCAACCACTATTGTGGTGATATTTCTTTCTTCAGTTCTGTTAACAGTTGTTTTATGTACTTAGCAGGTCTATCATTTGGTGCATAGATGTTGACCAGTGTTACGTCCTCTTGATCTACCATGCCTTTAATCACTAGACAGTGCCCTCCCTTATCTTTTATGATGATTTTCATTCTGGAGTTATTTTATCAGAGATTAGTATTGCCTCTCCTGGGTTTTTGTGGATGCCATTTGCTTGATACATTTTTTCCCAGCTTTTGATTTTGAGTCTATCTTTCTCTTTGTTTATTAAATGTGTCTTAAACAATTTATTAGATGTAGACAACATATTGATGGGCTTTTAAAAATCCGTTCTGTTACTCTTTTTCTCTTGATTCGTGCATTAAATCCATTCATGTTGTTGTTGTTGTTATGTGCCGTCGAGTCACCTGCGACTCATAGCGACCCTATGTACAACAGCCCTAAACTCCGCTCTGTCCTGTGCCAATCGCACCGTCTCTGACACTCCCATCCCAATTATCCCAGTCACTGAATCAATCCACCTCATAGAGGGCCTTCCTCTCCTGCGCTGTCCCTCCACCCTCCCAAGCATGATGTCCCTCTCTAAGGACTGGTCATTCCTCACAACATGTCCAAAGTAAGTTAGACGGAGCCTCAGACTTCTTGCCTCCAAGGAGCCACCCGGTTTAACCCTTTCCAGGACAAATCTGTTTGTTTTCCTAGCAGTCCATGGTATTCTCTATACTCTTCTCAAGCACCACAGCTCAAAGGCATCAATTCTCCTTCTATCCTCCTTGGTCATTGTCCAACTCTCTGATGCATAACAAGTGATTGGGAAGACCATAGCCTGTATCAGACGCACCTTAGTCTCCAGAGAGACACCATTGCTCTTCAGCACTTTGGAGAGGTCCCTAACAGCAGACTTTACCATGGCAATGTGCCTTTTAATTTCCTGGCTGCTGGTGCCAAGACTGTTGACTGTGGAGCCAAGCAAACTAAAGCTGTGTACACTCTCAATCTCTTCACCATCCACCCTGATGCTGCCAATTGGTCCAGTGGTGAGAATCTTTGTCTTCTTGACATTGAGCCTCAATCCATATTGTAGGATGCAGTCCTTGACACTCTGCAGCAGGCGCTTCAGGTCCTCTTCAGTTTCAGCAAGCAGGGTTGTGTCATCCGCATAACGCAGATTGTTGATAAATCGTCCGCCAGTCTTGACCCCACATTTCTCCTCATAGAGCCCAGCCTCCTGGATAATCTGTTCTGCATATAGGTTGAAAAGGTATGGAGATAGGATGCATCCCTGGCGTACGCCCTTCCCAATTTTGAACCATGCAGTGTTCCCTTGCTCTGTTCTGACGATTATTTGCAGACCAGGTTTTATTGTTGTAATGTTGCTGTGTTTCTTTTTACTCTGTCCCATCCTCTTTCCTTTGGTGTCTCTGTGTGTAGGACTTCCCTTAAAAGTTCTTGTAGGTTTAGTCTTTAGTCTTGTTTTCACAAATTACTTAAGTTCTTTCTTTTCCTTAAAAAATGTAATTTATCCTTTGTATTTGATGGAGAGCTTTGCTGGGTACAGGATCCTGGGTTGGCATCTGTGTTCTTTCAACTTTCTGTATATGCCATCCCATTGTCTTCTTGCTCACATGGTTTCTGCTGAAAAATTAGAACTTGATCTGATTGCTTTTCCTTTGCAGGTGACTCTGTTTTTCTCATGCAGCTTTCAGTATTTGATCCTTATTTTTTATTTTGGAGAATTTTACTATATGTCTTGATGTACTCCTTTTTGAGTTTAGTCTATTGAGTTTGCTGAGCTTCCTGAATGTGGATTTCCTTGTTCTTCAAAATACCTAGGATATTTTCTTCTAGGACCTCTTCCACAATTTTCTCAGTGATTTTCCTATCCCTTTCATATTCTGGAATTCCAATCATACATATGTTGTTTCTTTTTTTCATTCCACATGATAATGTTTTCTTCACTTTATGTCTCATCTCTGATTTTTCTTCTAGTATGTTTCCATTAAGGGTCTTGTCTTCCAGCTCACTGACTCTCTGCTCCATCTCTTCTGTTTTACCTTTTTGTCCTTCAAGCATGTTGAACACTTCTACCACTTTAGTCTTAATGTTCTGGATTGCATTTTCATGCCTTTCTGTTATTTCTGGTACTGTGTTGCCATACCCTCCAAATCTTATGATGATTTTTCAAGTTCTTGTATCTCTTTTTCTCTATTGTTTCAATTCTTCCTTTTTTTTTTTCATTTCTTCCATATTTGTGCAAGTTCCTCCTCATCAGTATTCTGGCTCTGTGTCTCTGGAGCATTTGCTTTCTTACTGGTTTTCATTGTTTCTTCCATCATTTGCACCTTCTTCCAAAGCTGTTCAAATATATAAAAAAATATATATGCTCTTCATCAATATATTTTTTTTTCTGGTGCTATACCTCTAGGTTATTCCCTTTATCTGTGGCTTCCATTGTTTCTTCCATCATTTGTACTTTTATTTGTAACTGTTCAAAGGTCACCATATTAACATATATCATCTGCCCTCTTGACTCTGGGGTATTCATGAGGTCTCTGATAGTCTCTGAATTCTTTTTTTAAAAGGTTTACTTTGTTTTTTCACTGTGTTTGAAGTGATCTCTTGCTTTCTTGACATTATGTGAAGCTTTTCTTGAAAGTGTTAGGTCATTTACATTGTGTCCATGAAAGTTTTTGGTGGTCCTTGCCTTTATAATGTTACTAGTTATTTGCCAAGTTAAAAATGTGATGAGATGTTCATTCCACTGTAAATCATTTCAGGGAAAATTTGCCTTTCCTAAAGTCCTTGAGGTTCTCTCTGTTCTGCACTGCAGCCCTGTAGGAATTTCACCTTGACATCAACTCTATCGTATATGAAGTGGCTGAGTGGTGTGAGACCAGGTGTTCTATTCAAGCAGTTTCTCACACATCTTTTCTCCTGGAGTTTGATATCTTCCTTTGTCTCTGGAGTGGCATGAGATTAGAGGTCAAGGCTGCTAGCTTAAGCAGCTTTCATGCAGAGGGTCTCAAGTCAGCCCTCCCTCTTTCTTGCAGAGAACTACAAAAATCTGTTCCCTTGGCCTGAAGTCCTGTGTACTAAAATCTCTCTTCCTGTTTGGCCCTTGGAATGGCCCCGCAGCTGCAGAGGCAAGGACTCCCAGATGGAGGTACCTACAACCACAGGGACACCTCAGTCCTGTCTCCTTTCAACAAACAATGGAGAGTGCTCTCTCTTGACAGAAAGCCCCCACCTCTCTTGACCTTTTCTCCTGAGGCTTGATGTGCTCCTTTGTCTCTGATATCAATTTAAAACTAAGGTATGTTTGATTCAGACCATGGGCTTATCAGTCACCTGCTATGCATCTGAGGGCTGGACAATGAATAAGTATGACAGAAGAATTTATTCCTTTAAGCTGTGGTGTTGGAGAAGAGTACTGAATACCTCATGTTCCGCCAAGAAAACAAAACAATATCTCTTAGAAAAACTGCACTCAGAGTGCTCCTTAGAGTCAAACATGGTGGGACCTCAAGTCTCATACTTAGGGCATATTGTTAGCAGAAGATATTTCTTGGAAAGACAGGGACTACAGCAATGAGCTCATGTGTGTCAGAGATACTAGAACAGAATAGGTCAGGGTTCAAGTCTGTCGTTCATTGGATTGCTATGAGTCACATCCCACTCACAGCTCCTACAAGGTTCGAATCCGCCTTTCTCTGCAGGAGGAAGATGGTCGATCTCTTCTCAAGCAATTTACAGCCTTTGAGAATGGGCTGGAGTGTCAGCTATCAGTTGCTTCTCATCAGCAACGAATTTGAGTGAGTGGTTTAGAAAGGAGGGAGCTCTGGTGTTAAGCAGCTGGATTTCTACATAACAACAACTGTTTAAAAAGAAAACAGTTTGGGCTCTTGAGTGAATACCATCACAAAGTGGGTGTATGACTCAGGAGCTTCTCTAACTTGTAAGCAAAATAGTGTGTTTAAGAGTATTCTTGTGGAATATACAGATCCTTATGGATTGTGTTTACAACAGACTTCCATGGGTCTCAGAGCCAAAGCCAAAATCAAATACCCGCCAGTGGAGTACTTGGCCAAGAAGGAGACAGTGGGGCACAGTTTCCCTCACCCCAAAACAAGGGAGACCAAAGCCAAGAAGAAGAAGCTTTAATAGCAGGAGGAACGCAGACTGGCCTTTTTTTTTTTTTTTGAGGAGGGGAGCATGCAGCCTGCCTTTAAGGGAGCACAGCAGCCTGCCTTTATGGGGCACGCCGCCTGCCTTTAGGTGGGCACGCTGCCTGCCTTGGGAGCCAGGAGCCTGCCTTAGGAGCCTGGACTAGGGTTTAAGAGGGTTGCGCTGGGGTCAGCTCCGGCAGCAGAACATGCGCGCGTCGTTGAGCGCAGTGTCGTCGCGGATGCCTCGAGGCTGTTCGATCTTGGTCTGAAGGCCGCACACGCCTTTGGGGCACGGGACGCTCCAGTCTCCAAACTCTCCCCAGGTCAGGCCAGGCCCCTCCAGCTCCGTGCCGTCCGAGCAGCGGGCACGCAAGTTGTTGGCCGCCGTGTTGTCCCCGGGGGTCTTGGGGACCTCCACGCGGAGCGAGAAGGCCACCAGAAAGCCCCCGCCAGGGCACCACAGGGGCTCGCTCCAGGCGCCCCACCTGAGAAGGAGGCGGGACGGCTCGGAGGGTCCCCCTACCCAACTCCAGACCGCCCAGCGAAGGCGGGACCACCTCCAGGGGTCAAATCCTACCCCGGAGATGCCCAGGGAAGATCTTTCATTCATTTTTCCCAAATCTAAATAGCTTTGAAGGTGCTGCCCACCTGGCTTAAAAATGTGTTTTTTTGTTAAGTACCATAAAGTTGGAACCGACCTCTAGCCAGTTTTTAGAGGTAGTAAATTGCACGAAAGATTGATCATCCTTCTCCTTCTGAGCAGCCGGTGGATTTGAACCATATGCCTTTGGGTTGGCAGCTCAGCTCCTTACTCCTAGGCCACCAGTACTCCAAAAAGGTGTAACAGGAGAAAAGCATATCCCACTCTAGAGGACACCCGGGTAAAGGATATCCGCACCCGCGAAACCGATACATCTCACACTCACCTTCCAGACTGGGACTCCACCACGTGCGTGTTGCGCTCCGCGTTCCCCCGAGCGCAGTGCAGCCGGATCCCATTTAGAGCGGTGTCGTCGCCAGGAATGCCTTGGGGGGGCTCCACCTAGGAGGACAGGAGCGAAGGCGAGGCAGAGAACTGCCATCCCCGGTTCTGGGGATCCTCACGTCGCCGCCCCCTCCGATAACCAGGCCTGAGAAACCACCTTGAGCGAGAAGCCGCTGGCGAAGAATCCTTCGGGACACATCTCCGGCCAGGCCCAGTCACCCCAGGGGCCCCCATTGGTCACCTCGATGACGGACGTGAAGCCAGTGGGCGCATCCGCCGCTGTCTGCCCGCAGCGCATCGCCCACAGCAGCAGCAACAGCTGGGCTCCTGCACTCCGCTCCATTCCGCAGCCTCTGTGAGATCTGACCCTTATGCGGTTTATACCACTCCTGCCCCCACAAAGGCTCGGATTGCGGAAAGGCCACCTGGATTAAGTGACACCCAAAACTAATCTTCTCCTGGAACCCTGTAGGCTCTGGGCTCTCAGAGCCAAAGGAGGAGGGGCGGCAGGATCCAGGGGTTGAAACTACCACCACCTACTGAATTGTTCAGTACTTTGCAGGCTTATTTAATCCTCAGAACAATTTCAGGAAATGGGAATTACCCTTCTTATTTTGCAGATGCGATCGTTAGGGCTCAGAAAGGCCAAGCAACTTGCCTAAAGCCACAGCCAGCACATCTGGCGACCTTCCAACATTGGAAATTCTAATGTGTCTCCTCTAGAGATGGAAATGATGGCGCAGACAGGGGCAAGATAGGTAAGGGGCACTCAGGCATCTCTAGGATGCAGGGGGCATCAGAGTGACAGGTAGGGTGAGACTCCACCTTTTGCCCAGCTGAGAATAGTAGCTCCTTGATAAACTGAGACCCAGAGAAGAAAAAGTCACAGAGACAGGAATTCTGAGAAGCTCATGGAAGAGTAACAGGTTCTGCCCCTGCTTAGTAAATTATTCTTAGCCTGCCTCTCCTCCTTTGGCCACCAAGTGGGCTTCCAATTCACCTTTTTTAAAAAAACAGCTCAAATTCTCAGGGAGGCATCTTATTGATAGAGCCTGTGCTGAAATGTGTCCAGGATGACAAGAAAGGCACAGGATGGGACAGAGCTCAGAGTCACTAAGAGTAGCACTCATAACAACAACATACTGCTCAATTATTTATTCAACATTTCTGTTATGACAGGAGTCTAGAGCGATGGCTACATGGTGGAGTGGACCTGGGGGAGGGTTTGTAAAACAACGAAAGAATCTTTTCTTTTACTTTTCCAAGAGGGTAGTGTTCGGGGGGGAGCCTTGGGAGGGGACAAAGCTACAACAATGAATGAATGGAAATCCAAAGCCTCTGTAAATTTTCACTGAAATTAATAACAAATTTAAATTTAAAAAAACGAATTAAGTTAGAGTAAGGATGGCAATGGATTCATAACTGCTCAAGCTAATAACACTATATCGTGGCATGCAGGAGGAATAGTGGAAATGTATCCACATTTACAACATTCCTCTTACCAAAACCATTTATGGAAAATAGGTACTGCATTGGAACATAGATCTCTGGACTGGAAATGATGATATTGTTAATACTTCTAGCCTTAAGCTTAAAAGATTATAATGTTCAAAATTATTTGTTATACATTTGCTTAAATTTTTCCCTCTTTTAACAACTGGGATCTAAAGGGACGAGAAAAAAATCAGAGAATGGCCAAAATTATTGGGGCAGCTATTGCTGCCAGTTTAGGGTCTGTGTCAGGAAAAGGAAGTCTTACTCATAAACAGTGCCACCCAAAGGTAATAAAGGAGGTCAGAATTGCTTCCACTGTGGAAAGCTGGGCCACTTCAGTAGACAGTGTCACAGACGAGAGCCACAGATAGGCAAGGGAGTAGAGAGGAAGCTCCCACTCACTTGCTTTAGGTGTGGATCTGAAGGACACTTGGCCAAGGGTGGCCCACATCAGGTCCTCATGGCTGACAGGACTGACAGGCCCCAGCTCCCAGCTGGAAACAAAGGAGGATGCTTCAATGATTTAGATCCTCCCAGAAGAGCCGTGGATGAGCATTAACATTACTGGTAAGTATATTCATTTTCTCCTGGACACAGAGCTTACTAATTGGTCCTAAAAGCCTTCTGAGGTCCCAACTTTTCTCACTATCTCTTAGTTGTTGGAATGGATGGAAAACCTCATAAGCAGTTCCTTACTTCACCTCTACCTTGCATGTGAACTTCCGAGTTGTAAAACAGCCCAATGGTAGATGGAATTTGCTCCAGGACTTAAGAACCATAAATGACATAGGTGAGCCTCTACATCTTGTGGTTCCTAACCTGTACACTATAATAGACAAAGTGTTAGTCTATAGGCCTTTTATTGTAAGAACCACCTTCCCTCTGTAACTTGATTTGTGCCACTACTAGAACCTCTACTTGGAATATTATTGCTTGGTTAATTTTTTACTCATGTACTTTTAACTTGTTAAATTTGTGTCTTCTAGGTTGCAACACCTCCATGATACATCTTCAAGGATATGAACATGTACGGCTAAGCACAATTGATAACAGTGCATCTAAATTCCAAAATCAATCTCCATAATAGTGTACGTGTTTCCTACTGCCAAAGGGGCCCTTTAGAGTAGTGAGAGAAGATCTTCACCCTGAAACCCACAGTGTCCCTTTTCAGCAGGAAGTAGCTAAGAGAATACGCCATCCCCTTTTCCTTATGAATCAGGGTGAAGTCTCTCTCAGGGAGGAGTGATATGGAATGGCAAAGGGCACAGTGACAAAGGAGATTAATCAGAACTGGCTTTGACAAGCACTGTAAAAATTGGACAATTAAAACAGGCATTCAAGGGGGGAAAAAAGAAGAACGAACTGTGGCAATTGGACAATTAAAACAGACATTTGGGGTGGGGAAGAAGAACGAACTGGGGAGGAGGGTAGAGAAAACAGTGCAACAATGAATGAATGAGAACCCAAAATCTCTGTAAATGTTCATTAAAACTAATAAAATTTAATAATAATTTAAAAAAACACAAATATATTCATTGATAATGTACTTTATTAAGCTCTGGTGGTCTAGTGGTAAGAATCTGCACTGCAATTCCAAAGGCATTCAGTTTGAATCCATGCTGGAGGGTAAGCTATGGGTTGGTTCCACTTGATGGTAAAGGACAACAATGTACTTTGGTCCAAGCACTATTCCAAGAGCAGCAATCAAGAAAAACTGTCTTCATCAAAGTTTACATCCCAGTGGGGGATCTTGCCGATAGATAAATTCTCCCCAGTAGATCACGAGCTCTGGGGAGGTACTTCTGTATTCTTGAAGTCTTGTACAGAGCTGGGCACGTAAAAGTAATCGATAAAGATCATTTCAATCAATGGACCTGGAGGTGTGTTTAAACACACACAGGTGCCCACAGCACACATACAGCCACAAATTGTAAAAGGATAAAAATTTAAAGTAAATAAATATTTAAGAGGACAGAGAATTTGAAAGTGTCTCTGAATTCCAGGTGCCCATTGGTTGAACTTAATAGGAGAGATTTATGGAATAATTGTGGTTAACAGTTTCCATTTAAAGCGTCTCAAATACATTAACATTTAATCCTCACCGGAGGCCTTGGAGGTACCAATTATTAGCCTCAATTTACAGTGCAGGAACCCAGGGCCAACAGTTCATTTAGGGCCCATGCACTGCTCAGTAGTGGAACTGGTTCTGTTTTCCAGTATCCAGGCTGCTGCTTACTGCAAGCAGAGCCCTACAGGGAAGGGCAATGTAGTGGCCTGTCACTGTCACCCAATCCCCCAAATTCCCTTTATTCAGTCCTTCAAGCTGCCCTCTGGGTCAAAGGGCGCAGCGAAGGGGGCCTTAGGGTTAATTATTAACCCTTTGTTCCTCAAAGCGAGTCTTGCGGTCAGGAGGTACGTGAACTGGTTAGGGGCCTGTGAGGGGGCGGTGGTCCCCGCAGCAGCCATGGGGGCCACACCGCGGCCCCGGGCCCCGCGGTGCCGTCTCTGTCTCGCAATTCTTCTTGCTATCTTGGCGCTGCTTCTCCTTTATCTCAGTGCTCGGAGCCTGGGTGAGTGGCCCCTTCTCTCACCCAGTCAGGAAGCAAGCCTCCCCGAGCTCTGGGGACCCACACTCCCTTCTCCAGTCCTCACTTCCCCCCCTTCCCTTACTGCAGGAGCGCTCTCAGGCTGCGAATCAGGGGCACAATTTTGCATGCCCGAACAGCTGCCCTTCCAGGTACGACCCGGGCAGGGATGGCCTGAGAGTCCCCAGGTAGGACTCTGATAAGAAGTAGAGCCACTGAGGATCTGGGGACGAGTGGGTTTTCCCCCTCATTTCGCTCTTCTAGCTAAAAACTACGGGTACCATAAGAGGGACGCCAGTGAGGTTTTTCTCGCCGCTTGAATGAGTTGCTAGGTTAAGGGTGCTCAACAGTTTGGGAGGTCTGCTCCCATCCTCTCCTCCTGTCTACTCCCCAGATCCAGCAAGGGTCAGGACCCCTGGAGTGGGAAGAGCCTTCATGTTTGGGCCCCCGGGGGATGTTAGGTCGCATGATGGGGCCGTTTCGCGCCAGTTTGAACCCCAAAGGCGACGTGGAGTTGTCGCAGTACCTGGCCGGATGGAGGGAGTTGATCAAGTGAGTGGTCCCCCTGCCTGCTCCAGTTCCTGATTTTGTGGCTCCTACGAACCCTCGCAAACCAGCTCTCCTATTCCTCTCTTCGCCCCTACCCCAAACATTCAGGTTCCTAAGTCCCCTTGGCTCCATATTTGCTTTCGCCACAAGTGAAGCCTCCACCAAGGTCGCAGATCTGGAGGCCAGGGTGCACAGCCCTGACGCTGCTCACTACACGTCGCTGGCGGCCATGACCGCATGGGAGCGGCAGGCAGGGCTGCTGGAGGGGCGCGGAGCCGCCCCGCCGCACTCGGGCTCGCGCACGCTGCTTCTGCTGCACCGCGCCCTGCGCTGGTCCCAGCTCTGCCTCCACGGGGTGGCGACTGGAGAGTTTGGGGGCCCGGACGCGGGCGAGCAGTGCAGCGACGCCTACAGAAAGGCGCTGGGCCCACACCACCCCTGGCTCATCCGGCAGGCTGCTAGCGTGGCCTTCCGGGCCTTCCCTGGTCGTGCCCGGATACTCGAGCTGACATGTCCAGGGACCAAAGAGACCGCGGCGCGAGCCGCCCTAGCCCGGGCCGCTGGCACCCTGGAGGATGTCTACAACCGCACCCAGAGCCTGCTGGCCGAGCGCAGCCTGCTCCACCTGGCCTGAGGTCCGGCGGTCCTGAGGACCGGCGGCCAGGAGCCACAGGGTTAACTGGACCGAGGACCCGGGGTCCTGGCAAGACGCGCCTGGCCTGACGTCCCACTGCCAACGCCCGCCCCTACGCAACTGGGCGGGGCCGCCGTGCCAAGCTCCGCCCATAGGTGATGTCAGCGCACAACGGCCCCTGGCGCGGGATGATTTGGAGCTCCGCCCTTCGCCGCTGCTCCTGAGCTGCGCGGAATTAAAAGTTTTTTTCCTATTTCCTTTGGCGCCAGCAGTCATCACACAAAACCTCCACATGAAAAAAAACCAAAAAAACCTCCACATGAGCAGCTGTTCAGCTCAACAAATCCATGTTTACTAAAGGGCTCCTAACTAGTCTCATAACAACAATTCCCAAGCTATAACTCATTTTCTCCTGAACTCCAAAATCCTATATTTAAAACTGCCTATTTGATAACTCCGCTTGGATGTCAATTAGGTATGATACTTGGCGAGTCAACTGCAGAATTCTTTTCCCCTAAATAAATAAATGAGTTTTCCCTTCACTTTTTCTGTTAATTTGTTCAAAGGCTGTCTGCTCATTGAGACAGGGACTTTCCTGGTGGTGGTGGTGGTGGTGGTGGTGGTGTTATGTGCCGTAGAGTCGCCTGTGACTCATAGCGACCCTATGCACAACAGCCCTACACCCTGCTCAATCCCGTGCCAATCTTATTGTCTCAGACACACCTATCCCCATTACCCCAGTCTCTGAGTCAATCCATCTCATTGAGGGTCTTCCTTTCCTGCGCTGTCCCTCCACTCTCCCAAGCATTACGTCCCTCTCCAAAGGACTGATACCGCCTTGCAAATGTCCAAAATAAGTCAGACGAATTCTTGCCTCCAAGGAGCAGTCTGGCTTCAACCTCTTTAGGTCAAACCTGTTTGTTACCCTAGCAGTCATGATATATTCAATACTCTTCTCCAGCACCACAGTTCAAAGGCATCAATTCACCTTCTATCATCCCTAGTCATTCATTGTCCAGCATTCTGATGCAAAGGCTCCTCTAGTTACTAATTTTAAAACTTTAGCACCACCCCTCACACTTCCTAGATGTTTCACCTGTTTTTCTCCTTACCATGACTATATAACATATTGGGTGTTATTGTACTGTACTTATTTATTTGTTGTTGCTGTTATGTGCCATCGAGTCGCTTGCAACTCATAGCGACCCTATGTACAACAGCCCTAAACTCTGCTCGGTCCTGTGCCAATCGCACTGTCTCCAACACTCCCATCCAAACAAAAGAAGATGGAAGGAATATATAAGTCATTGTATTGAAAGGAATTGGCAGATGCAGAAGAATTTAATGAAATAATATTTGAGCAAGAGCCTATGGTGGTGAAGGAAGAAGTTCAAGCTGCTTTGAAGGAAATAGCAAAAAATAAGGCTCCGGGAATAGAAGGTATACCAATTGACATATTTCAGCTAACAGATGCTGCCCTGGATGTGCTCACCAAGTTGTGCCAAGAAATCTGGAGAACAACCACTTGGCCAGCTGACTGGAAGAGATCTATATTTGTTCCCATCCCAAAGAAGGGTGACCCAACAGTGTGGAAACTATAGAACAATATAATTGATTTCACATGCAAGCAAGATTCTACAGAAGATTATCCAAAAACGACTGGAAGAGTACATCAGCAGAGAACTGCCAGAACTCCAGGCTGGGTTTAGAAGGGGTTGTGGTACTAGGGATATTGTAGCTGATGTTAGAAGGATCTTTGCTGAAAGCAGAGAATACCAGAAGAATGTCTATCTGTGTTTCATTGATTATGCAAAGGCATTTGACTGTGTGGATCATAACAAACTGTGGCTGACTCTGAGAAGAATGGGAATCCCAGAACATTTAATTGTGCTAATGCGAAACTTATACTTGGACCAAGAGGCAGTCGTCAGATCAGAGCAGGGTAACACTGCTTGGTTCAAAATTGAGAAGGGTGTACACCAGGGATGTGTCCTATCTCCATACCTTTTCAGTCTGTATGCAGAGCAGATTATCCGAGAGGCTGGGCTCTATGAGGAGAAGCATGGCGTTAGGATTGGTGGACGATTTATCAACAATCTGCATTACGCAGATGACACAACCCTGCTTGCTGAAACTGAGGAGGACCTCATGCACTTGCTGCGGAGGCTCAAGGACTGCAGCCTTCAGTATGGACTGAGGCTCAATGTCAAGAAGACAAAGATTCTCACCACTGGACCAACTGGTAGCATCAGGATGGATGGCGAAGAGATTGAGATTGTTCACAGCTTCAGTTTGCTCAGCTCCACAGTCAACACTCTTGGCACCAGCAGCCAGGAAATTAAAAAAAAAACGTATTGCGATGGAAAAGTCTGCTCTTAGGGACCTCTCTAAAGTACTCAAGAGCAACGCTGTCTCTCTGGAGACTAAGGTGCACCTGATACAGGCCATGGTCTTTGCAATCACGTGTTATGCATCAGAGAGTTGGACTATGACTAGGGAGGATAGAAGGAGAATTCACGCCTTTGAGCTGTGGTGCTGGAGAAGAGTATTGAATGTACCGTGGACTGCCAACAAAACAAACAGATTCATCCTAGAGAGGGTTAAACCAGGCTACTTCTTGGAGTCAAGGATTCTGGGGCTTTGTCTGACATGCTTTGGGCATGTTGTAAGGAGAGACAGGTCTTTAGAGAGGGACATCATGCTGGGTAGGGTAGAGGGACAGCGCAGGGGGGAAGACCATCTATGAGGTGGATTGATTCAGTGACTGGGGTAATCGGGATGGGTGTGTCAGAGGCAATGAGATTAGCACAGGATAGAGCAGGGTTTAGGGCTGTTGTACATAGGGTCACTATGAGTTGCAAATGACTCGACGGCACATAACAACAACAACAATGACTAATTCACAAAGCATTTCACAACCTTGGTGAATCTGAAGGATATTATGCTAAGTGAAGCAAATCAGTGTCAAAAGGACTCATATAAATGAACATGGACTCCTAAAAGAACAAACAGATGTGTCTTCGAGAAGGTGCAGCCAGAGTGCTCCTTGGAGGCAAAGATGATTAAACTTCATCTCATATACTTTGGGCATTGCCACACCAACTCCAAGGGAGTCTGCGTGACAAAATCACCTGACTGAGGCGAAAACTTCAAGGAAGTCAGCCTCTCGGAACGTGTGCTTTCTCCATGATTGTTCTTGGCCTTTCTGTAATTTCTCTTCTATTGTCTCTTTGTGTTTTCTATGTGGGACAGGGAAAAAAGGCGGTCTTCTTTACACAATGTGTTCCTACTAAAAGTTTGTTAGATGTTCTCAGAAAGAACTAAATGGAGGTGACGACTTTGATATGCAAACATTACCTCTGGTTCTTTTAGCATTACTAAAACTTCTCAAGAATAATCTGATTTTAAGGGAATTCATGGATGCATTATAACAAAAAGAATTAATGGTGGAAATCCTAGAGATGACCACTCCAGAGATTCCTAGATTTCTAGGGCTTATAAGAACTCCTTCAAAGGAAAAAACCCAAACCATTGCCCCCCACCATGAGAACACCAGGGGGAAGAATTGTTCATCTGTGAGGTAATGGTTGTTTGTGGCAGCCCCCTATTGGGAGAGGCCCTTACAGAATTCCAGAGCCTACAGATAAACCTCTTCCATATACTGGAAAATATGATGAATTTAATGCAAAAC